AAGAACTCTTTTAACGACTTTGAATTATGTCCCAAATACTATAGAAATTCTAGTTTCAACTCAATTATCTTAATTCCACCTCACCTTCCAGGTAGGGCCAGAAAACAATAATGTCTAGTTCACTTAATTCTTTTAAAGCACCTTGTAAGTGAGCGTAAGCGAGGCCATCTTGTTACACTAAATGGCCCCAGCCCCTCCTCCATGTGACTACTCGCTGCTCTGCACCTACTCTAAAAAATTCACATGCTTTCCTGATTTATGGCCTCTGCTTACACATGTACTCTTCAATAGCTTGATAAATTAAAACTTTGTTCTATGAGTTTCTCTCCAGGAACAGACTGACCACAGGCGGGAAACACACCTACAAGGGATCCATCACGGCTGACAGAAGAATGGAACAATGTAATGCCTGGAGCCCGTCATGCCTGGAGATGAACCTCCCTGGACCCCCTCCTCACTGCCCATTTTCCCTATATAACTGCCTCAAGATTCTGTAATCTCTGAAGATGGTTTTTGAGACATTAGTCACCTGTCTTCCCATTTGCCAGCTAATCTAATTAAACTTCGTTTCTCGATCTTTCACTCACTGTCATTAATTGGCTAAGATTGCAGTGAGCAGAGCGAGCCCATTGCTCAGTATCAACTTGTTTTAAAATTTGCCCTTTAAAGGAATACAAAAGCAAAATATTAACTTGGTTTAGATTGCCGAACTTTTTAAGCATTGAACATGAATTAATTTCTTTCTGCAGTTATGAGAAAAGAATTTGTTCTCAATGTACTCTTTTTAATTTAAAAAGTATTCCTGGTTTTCCTCCTTCTTTATGATATAAATTTACAAGATTCAAAGATAAGAATTTAAAAAGTATGTGTAAATCACTTTCCCCTCCTTAAATCTCATTTATAAAAGATGGATTAGCAGTTAGCAGTTATCAAGTTTAGCTCTCAGTTCACCATCTTACGCTGATTAAGTACCACATTCCTGTCTATTAAACAAAAATATTTGCCTGTACTCTTAGGCAAAACCAAAAAAAAAAAAAAAAAAAAAACCCTCAAAACCAAAAAATCCAACCAAAGCACAAAAAAAGCAAAACCCTCCACACTTTATTTGGATTTCCTGAAAAAGTTTTTAAGTAATCCTTGCCATTGAATTCACAAATGTTCTTCTGTCTTCTGAATATTGGTATTTTCAGCTTTTCAAATTCAGTTTTTGTGTAACCCATAACTGACTGCGTTGGTCTCTGGCATTGGGCTGCCTGGGTCCCCACTCCACCACTCTCTGGTTGTATGAGCGCTTGGGTATTTTCTTCTCACTTAATTTCTGCCTCTCTAGGGCCGGCCCTGTGGCTTAGCGGTTAAGTGCGCGTGCTCCGCTGCTGGCGGCCCGGGATTTGGATCCCGGGCCTGCCGACGCACTGCTTCTCTGGCCATGCTGAGGCCACGTCCCACATACAGCAACTAGAAGGATGTGCAGCTATGACATACAGCTATCTACTGGGGCTTTGGGGGGAAAAAATAAATAAATAAAATCTTTAATTTCTGCCCCTCTAAAATAGAGACAGATATATGTCTCTATATGGATCCTATTTTATAGAATGAAGATTAAATAAGAAATGGCACTTAAGACCTTAAGAGTTCAATACATCATAGCTAGTATCGTTATGTAACTAGAAGAAAATCCATTTTTGCATTTCATTTTAGTCAAATGATGTCTACATTCAGGTACTGGAACAATTAGCCAGGTCAAAGATGAACTATCTTTTGATAATTAAGAATGCTTCTGGAGTCAGTGGAGCACATTGCACAAATTGAGCCAACTGATTCTCGCAGAAGTCCTACAGAGAGAGTTGGTGATTCTCTCAGTGCAGGAGGAAATGGGGAGCAAGGCATCCCTAGTGCTATTGGTCACAATAAAATAACTGCAGGTTTCCTTTACATTCTTTTTTACTACCTTGTACTTGGCACCAAGGCTATATCCCACAGACTCAGTAAATTCAGCTCATTTAGTACAATCCATGTGGGTAATCACAACGGTTGTTGACCTACGTGACTCTGAGGGTGGGTCTAAATTTTGAGATTGTGAAAGGATCTGAGGGAAGGAGGTAGTGGGTTCCCCTTTGTGACAAAGTCAGGGACCCTCTGGGTAAAGCCAATGGTCACTCGACAGACCCCAGGGGGTAGCAAGACCTTGTTCCAGAACTAGCCCTCAGTTTACATTTTCAGAACCCTTGACAAGCAGGGCACAAAAGCAATCTAATGGGTTTGACACACAATCAAGCCCACAGAATAATATATAAATCTGGAATGCTGGTTTACCGCTTGGCATACAGGGAAAGTTGGATAATTAGGTTCACCAATCAGTGTTTTCTTCTGTGAAGACAAATCCACAGGGAAAGAAGCCCAAAACAACCAAGGGGTTGTGTGGAGCCTTACCTCCACACAAAGGGTTTGTGTTGGATGAGCTTAATGAGAGCGAGGGTGAGGGTGAGGGTGGGGGATGGGCTAGCAGACTATCACCAAAATAAGATAGTAGGTTCTCTTCTACAAAGATAGAGAAATGAGGCTTTGCCTCAGTGGTCCCACTCCATCCACAGATGTATTTGTATTAGTTTCCTAAGGCTGCTGTAACAAACTACCACGAAATAGGTGGTCTAAAACAACAGAGATGTATTATTGCACAGTTCTGGAAACTAGAAGTCCAAACTAAGGTGTTGGCAGGGCTGCGTTCCCTCTGAAACCTACAGGGGAGAATCCTTCCTTGTCTCTTCTAGCTGCTTATGTTTGCTGGCAATCCTTGGCGTTCCTTGGTTTGTAGATGAATCACACCAATCTCTGCCTTCGCTGTCACACGGCTGTTTTCTTCTTGTGTGTCTCTCTCCTTTTCTTATAAGGACACCAGTCATATTGGACTAAGGGTCCACTCTACTCTTGTATGACCTCATCTCAACTAATTACATCTGTGACAACCCTACTTCCAAATAAGTTCACATTCTGAAGTACTGGGGTTTAGGACTTCAACATATCTTTTTGGGAGGACACAATTCAACCTATAACAGTTTTCTTGGAACTTGTTCTTCAAGTTGTGTGAGTTTTTGTACTAGGAATTCACTGCCCCTTTAGGCACTATGTATTCCTTTAATTTTATTTGTTACCCTTTTATGACTAAGAAAATACTGGATTTGGCAGTTTTAGCTGAGAAAGTAAACTTCTGATGACTTGCTAAAATCAGAGACTGATACAAATTCCTGGAATTTCTGCTAGGATAGGGGCTAGCAAATGACCAGGTGGCTGAAAGATTTTTTTTTTTTTTTTTTTTAAAGATTTTATTTATTCAGTTTTTTCCCCCCAAAGCCCCAGTAGATAGTTGCACGTCATAGGTTCACATCCTTCT